GCATAATAGTTCTTTGTTGTCTTTGGAACTTTTTGTCTTTGGAACTTTGGCTACAAACAACTTAAAGGAGACATCATTCTGTAGCTTACCTTCATTGACAATATCAAAGCACACAGGGTGGTTGACCATGGCTGTGCGTGGCTCCAGGTGACTAGCTGTGCAGAGCCCACCCCATCTGCTAACCCAAATAGACTTGACTCCAGCACCTGCAGGTTTTACTCTTCCAGGCCACCAGCTCAGACTACTCTTAAGTAGAGATCCCAAGACAACAAAGCCCTGCACAAGTATCAACACCATATGCATTTTTTTATAGTTACCATCACCAACTTAAAACAACACAAACTTATTCTCTCACAGTCCCATTGGCAGAAGCCCAACAGGGGTCTCACTGAGCTAAAAACAAGATGGCAGCAGGACAGCATTCCTTTATTTCCTTGTTGGTTCAGTTCCTTGTGCAGGACTGGCATCCCCATTTCTTTGCAGACTGTCAGCTCTGTGCCATTCCCAGCTTCTAGAGTCATTGTGTCCCTTGGCCTAGGCCTCCTTTCTCCAGCTTCAGAGACTGATGCATAGGATTGCTCTTGCTTCTTCTTCCATAAAATCTCTGACCTGTCTGCTTTTCTCTTCTATTTGCAAGGCCTATATGAACAATACTCCAGGACAAGCACCTATCTTTTTTTTTTCATTTTTCTTTTATTATTCATATGTGCATACAAGGCTTCGTTCATTTCTCCCCCCTGCCCCCACCCCCTCCCTTACCACCCACTCCACTCCCTCCCTCTCCCCCCCCTCAATACCCAGCAGAAACTATTTTGCCCTTATTTCTAATTTTGTTATAGAGAGAGTATAAGCAATAATAGGAAGGAACAAGGGTTTTTGCTGGTTGAGATAAGGATAGCAAAACAGGGCATTGACTCACATTGATTTCCTGTGCATGGGTGTTACCTTCTAGGTTAATTCTTTTGATCTAACCTTTTCTCTAGTACCTGTTCCCCTTTTCCTATTGGCCTCAGTTGCTTTAAGGTATCTGCTTTAGTTTCTCTGTGTTAAGGGCAACAAATGCTAGCTAGTTTTTTAGGTGTCTTACCTATCCTCACCCCTTCCTTGTGTGGACAAGCACCTATCTTAAGGTCAGCTGTTTAGCACCATAGTTTCCTTTGCCAATAAGGTAATATACTCAAAGATGTAACACCAGGAGCAAAACCAAGAGGCTAACATCCTGTCTATAGTAAATACCAACCTTGAAAGTTGTTATGATTTGGTTCTGAAGTGTCCCCCAAAAGATTCAAGTGCCGAAGGCTTGGTTCCCAATGCAGCAGTGCTCAGAGCTGGGGCTTTTGAGAAGTAGTTTGATCATGAGGGCTCAGACTTTATCAATGGATTAATCTTTTCATGGATTCACAACATTACAGCATTTCTAAGAAGGGGTGGAAAGCAGGAGGCGGGGCCTAGTTGAAGGAAGTAAATCACTAGAAAGCTACACCTTGTCCCCTACCTCTTGTTGTTACTCCTCTCTATGCTCCTTGGCCACCGGGAGCAGCCTCCAACACACAATCTCACTACCATGATATTCTGCCTTGTCTTAGGCCCAAAACAATGGATCCAGCCAAACTTGGCCTAAAACGTCTGAAACCGTGAGCCTAAACAAGTCTTTCCTCCCTTAGGTTGTTTTTCTCAGGTTTTTGTCACAGCAACAGAAAGTCTAATACAAATGTCTAAACTTCTCTATACTACCTCTTATATATCTGAGTGTCCTTATTTTTGGACAGGGGTCCAAAATATTTTGTGTGCTGAGGTAATGAAACTTACTGAATTGTACTCTATAAACAAAATTTTCTTAGGAGTCAGAACTTAGTGTCTAATTTGATAGGTAGAAATGAGAACAGCATGTCAACTGCCTCAACCAGTTCTGACAAATTCCAGCCGCTGGAGATGACACAACCTTTCGAACTACCTGGGACAGGTGTGGGCTAGCCAACAAAGTAGGTACAAACCAGGTGGAAAATGAGGCTGAACTTCAACTTGGCCATTCCAGTTGGCTGAGTTGCCTACAAACGAGGCCCAGATCACTGAAGTCTCCTGTGGACCAATTAGCTTCGCAGATGGAGCATTCTCTGCACCTTGACCACAGATGACATTACTAATTCTAGGCAACCAGCTCCCAATGGGTGTTTGCAATTGTAAGGAGAAGTGATGGAAAGAGTTCCAGGAAGACAAGTCTATTAAAACACCTATTTAAATCAGAACCTTTCAGATTCTAGTTACTGGAACGAGTACTTTTTCCACAAGTTATAAGCTCTTGGGTGCTATTTTTCACCTAATTTCCCCACTTGATTAAACATTCTAAATTTAATTGCAGGAAAGGAAAAATGCAAAGTATTTTAAACTTTCAAAAAAGACCCTCAAATGCTGCAAATACAGATTAAAATAGGGGAGAGGATATCTAGACAACTGCAAAAAATGTTCTAGCTGGTTGCCCCATTGCCTGCTCATTGTTCTGATGCTGCCAAAAATATCTTTCCCATCACTGCACACATCAGTCATTACAGCCTTACTGAAGAGGCAGAAATAGCTCCTCAGAGCCTACAAAAAAAGCCCAGACTCCTTAGCGTACTCCCACATCCTTGCCCCACTAGTCACAGTCTGTCTTTCCACCCTCTCCCCTATCTGAGTCCCATGCCACCGCCAGCAACAGCTCGCCCTGGAAACCAGACACCTGAGACCTCTTGCCATTCCCAAAGCACCACCGCCACAGTGGGTCTCCAATGCATTCCTCAGGCAGGCTTGCCTTTCTCGTCACTCACGGGATCCACCTTCTCTTTCCACACCAGATCAAATGTCATGTCCCCCTATAAAATAACCACACCCTCCTCAGTGCTCCTGGAACAACATTCTGGTTTTAGCTCTGTGGTAGACTCAGCAATGTTCTGTTTTCTTATCTGCCTCCCTCTCTCAAGCCAATGACTCCATCTCTCTGCCCTCTGCAACCTTACCTTCCCTCCATATTGCAGCCAGAGTCTACCCAGGTGCCTGGAAAGGGCTCAGTAAATGCTGGGTGGCCACATTGAATCCATTATGTGCAATACCAAAGACATTCTCTGACTTTAAGCAACACTTTTTTTCAGGGTGTGTTAACCAGTACCCACAATTCCATTTGGTTAGACACACTGTCACTGTATCTTTTGGCATGTAAACTTATGCAATCACAGGCCCTATATTCTTCAAATGCTATTTGAAATCCATTTATACATACAGGAGCTGCTCAATTTATGATGGAGTGGCATCCTGACAAACTCATTGTAAGCTGAAAAAAAATGTAAGTTGAAAATGCATTGAATATAGCTAGCCATCATCACAGCTTAGCACCCAGCATGCTGTAGAGTATTGGTCACTGCCCCTGGTGATCAGCGGGGCTGACTAAGAGGAGAGCAGTGGCTTCATGCTGCGGCCCAGTGTTGCCAAACACATATCACGAGCCCAGGAGAGGATCCAAATTCAAAATCCAAGTGCAGATTCTACAGAATGTGAATTGCTTTTGCACCACCATAAAGTGGAAAACTTATGAAATCAAACCATCCAAAGCAAGGTGCCTGTGGCTCACGCCTATAATCCTAACTACTTAGGAAGCTGAGATTCAGAGGATTTTGGTTCAAAGCCAACCCAGAAAGATAGTTTGTGAGACTCTGTCTCCAAAGTAACCAGAGAAAAATGGACATGGTTCAAGTGGTAGAACACCTGCTTTGCAAGTACAAAGCCCTGAGTTCAAACCCCAGTCCCACTCAAAAAAGCTAAATAAATAAATCAAAAGTTGAGAACCAGGTGTAGCTAACTAGCTCTTTGTGCATTCCATGCACAATAACTGCTTAAAAAATTACCAAGATTTGACAGGCATCAGTGACTCACGCCTATAATCCTAGCTACTCACGAGGCAGAGATCAGGAGGCTCTTTGTTCACAGCCAACCTCAGGCAAATACTTCTTGAAAAATACCCATCATAGAAAAAGAGTTTAGCAGAGTGGCTCAAGCAGTAAGAACACCTGCTTAGCAACCTGAGACCCTGAGTTCAAACCCTAACACTGCAAATAATAATAATAATAAAATAAAAAATTAACAAGGTTTGATTTCTAGTAATGACCAATAAGATCCTAGTGTCCTAACAGCCCTACAGATTAAAAGTACAAACTCTAGTAAAAACAATTTTTTAAAAACCACACCCAGCTACCTGAATGCTGTGGAGACTGACCAAAAGCAGAGGCATGTTCTGGATGTTGACTTGGAAGAGAAAACAGCATGGGATGGGTTCCCCAATTCTGTGACTTCAAGCTTAATAGGGGTGTCCAGATGTAGCCCTGCTGGATCGCCAGTCTCTCAACTGGACGAGCCACAGGAGAGATGTGGGCAATCCCAGCAAGGAAGGAGACTTCAGAAGGGAGACACCAAAAGGTGAAGTCCTAAATTCTGGGTGACCTGAACCACCCATATCCAGGGTAGATGGTGAGCAGCCTCAGGGAACTTTCTGAGTGCTAGTTACATTCCATACCTTGACAGGAGTTTGGGTTTATATAGGTGTATGCATTTGTCAAAACTCATTAAATGATACATAAAAAAATGTACATTCCATTCTACAGATGTTTCACCTAAAGAAAAATTAACTTAAAAAAAAAGTGCTGTGCGCTGGTGGCTCACACCTGCAATCCTAGCTACACGGGAAGCTGAGATTGAGAGGATCCACTATTTGTGTCCAACCAGGGCAAATGGTTCAGGACACACTCATCACCAAAAATAACCAGAACAAAATGGACTGGAAGTGTAGTTCAAGTGGTAGGGAGCCTGGTTTGCAAGCTCAAAGCACTGAGTTCAAACCCCATTTCCACAAAAAAGGAAAAAAAAAGTAAACATTGAACTATTGAACTTGAAGAATTTGAATGGTATACAAGCAGAAATACTGAGAAGTCAATGTACTGACACCTGCAACTTTACTTTGAAATGCATCTAAAAAGAAGAGATGGACTGACAAATAGGAAATGGGATGGACAGACCTGTGACAAAGCAGGTACAACAAGAAACTGCTAATGGTAGAATCTAAGTGTTGGGGCTACAGATATTGGCTGTAAAGTCGTTCTAGTTTTCTGTAGACTTGAAAGTTTTCACAGTAAAATGTTTACAAAGGTTCAAAGATGCACTGCAACTTGGAATTTATTCCCTGAAAAAGACGTGGAAGTAGATCCCAGTATTTTCAGGAGTCAACATGAAGAAAGCCAGAAATTCATTGTAGAATTGTAAACAAAAAGCACTTAGCTAAGAGTTTGGTAACACATGTTTGCTGCCCAGTAGGAAAAAGCATGTACCAAAGTTGACCTTAGGGAATCATGGAAATAAGTTTCTCAGCTCTGTGACATGTTCTGGTGACATATTTTATTTTTGCAGTGTCAACAGGGCTATCCCGGCAGTCCTTGTGGTTAGTGGTGTTAGGTGGCACCTCAGGAGAAGTTTCGATTCTGTGTTCAACTTCCTATAAGCCAGGCCCTAAAGCACCAGAAATGACATGAAAACATAACACTGGATGAGAGAGCAGAACCTTCCATGCCTGAGGATGAACAGGCTTTAAACTGGCCAGCAGAGCTAGGAGTGTACCTCAATGATAGGACACATTACATAAGGCCTGTGGCCAATCCCCAGTACTGCAAAGAACAAACAAAAAAGGAAAAGAAAAGGTGACCTGAAAACACAGGCCTCTAGGCAAACAAGAAGTCAAAGGGTCACTCTATCCATTTGTTCTAGAAAGGAGCATCCCCTGTCTTCAGACACTGAGAAAACAGAAGTGAGATAAATGATTCTAACAAGAGCCAGCCAACTGGAAAAAGAGGCCACAGATATTTCAACAATTAAGACACATCAACCGTGTAAATACTGAACAGTACAACACCACACACAGTTTATTGTTGTTAACTATAGACAAAAATTAAAAATGAAAACCAAAGCAACAGTAAACTACTTGTGAGGAAGGAATGGCTGAAAAAAAGGAGTATATACTGTACAATAAACCTTCTGCCATGTTTCCATATATTATAAAAATTTTTAAAAAACACAAAATAGGCTAGGGCTGCCAGGCACCAGTGGCTCATGGCTATTATCCTAGCTACTCAGGAGGCAGAGATGAGGAGGATCTTGGTTTGATGCCAGCCCCAGGCAAATAGTTCTAGGGACCCTGTGTCAAAAACACCCATCACAAAAAAGAATTGATAGAGTGGCTGTGGTGGAGTAGTGCCTGCCTAGCAAGCTTGAGACCCTGAGTTCAAACCCCAGTACCACCAAAAAAAAAAAAAAAGAGAGAGAGAGAGAGATAGGGTGCAGCTCAGCAGAACACATACTTACCATGTGAGGAACAACAAAAGCAATAAAATGAACAAGATTATCAATTGATAGGCCTTACAGAAAGGCATGAGTCTGAAACTGTTTCCATAATTCCATCTCATTTTATCTCCTCATTCCATTTCTATCAAATAAATAAAAATGTGACATCTGTATTTACTACTATGTTCTCTCCTCCCCGCCCTCCTTTTTTACCCATCCTGCCCATCCTAAGGCTAATACATATCCTGGAAATGGAAGTGTTTATGTCTTATAGACTCTGGTAGGGAGAGCAAATTATAGGTGGGGTAAGAAGGAAAAGAAAAGGGCTCCCCATTCCAGGACCTACCTGTCTCATTAGACATAATTTAAGTACTGCAAAGTTGTTTAATTTTAAACAACTTTTATAACAGTCTATAAAAAGAGAAACATCACATCTTGTATGTGCTTACTCTGATTTGACATTTTTTCCAACCTATTTGGACGCACTTGCACTCTCTTGAGCAGTCTCTCTGGATTTGCTTCCTGGAGTTTCCTTCTGCCTGATTCATTTCACCAATGGTCTGGCAATACAGCAGGGCAATAATGCAGGTCTGTTTCAGGCAACCAACCAAGAGACCACCCTCCCCCTGAGTAAGGGTATCTCAACCCAGCCCACCACTTTGATCTGTTTTCAGTTTTTAAATGCTCCCTGCTGCCTGGTGGGGAGCTAAGTGACTTGCTTCAATAGACATTATGTCACCCCCTCAGCCTTTATGTAAACAGAATGTCTAACACCTTCACAGTGTAAGCCAAGGAGTGAGCCTGCAGTAGAAGCTGACAAGATAAGTATTTTGTATCGGCACCTGCAGGAGGAGCCACGCCTGCTCGCATGCATGCCTCCTGCCTGGCACAAGCAGGAAATTTAAATTTAGATTCCACGGCAACTTCTTTCTGCCTCCCACTAACACTTCTTTAAGTCATAATGACATCAGATAGGAGGGAAATAATATTACCTTTTTCTGAGGCCTTTTCTTCAGCCATCGAGAAAGTCACAGAACACAAACTCTGAAAGAAGAAGGCAACATCTCTTTTTCATAACCACTGCTGTGCACACAACCTAAACCACATTTCCCATATCCACACACAATGCTCCACAGTTCATAACTCTGTCAAATATCTGGTGGTATTAGTGATGAGAGAAAAGAAGATAACACACACCAATTTAATTCTAGAGAACCCAATCTTCATTCAGCTATCAACTAAGTACCATGCCAGGCATTTGGGGAGAGGAGGCCTATCTGCCCAAGGCTCAGAGATCCATCTCAAGCCCCCACAAAAAGTAATTAGAAGATAGGAATCAGAAGTCAGTGTTGAAGGAACTAGTCCAGTTCACACAGCTGGTGGTGGCAGAGCCAACACTGGAATGCAAGGCTCCCAGCTCCTTCTTCTAAGCCAAGCACAGCTCATCTGCAAACAGGCATCAGAACGAGAATTGTGCTCTGTGGCTTTCTGCATTAGGGACTGTCATTTGGCCCCAAATGCTCTTCCAAAGATTCATGGGATGCAGAGAAGCAAGTCTCAGAAAGGCTTCGTGGGTGAAACAGCATCTGAGCTGGGGTTTAAAGAAGCAGGTAAAGTGGAGAGTGGGTCAGGGGTGGGGTCAAAAGGCAATCATGGAACCGAGTCAGTGGACAGGATGGTGTTTGCAAAGACAGTAAAAGAGGAGAACCAGAATGGGATGAAGTCAGAGCATTTTGGCTTCCTTCATTGGACCATAAGGATTCAATGACGGTGGCGGACGGGATAACAGATGACATCTGCGCTACAAAAAAGCTGAGCTGGCAAGGATGCAGAGGTGGATTAGCAACAAGGAGGCCAGGGCAGAAGTCAAGGCCAAGGATCAAGGATCATAAAGACCTCATCTGGAGAAGCTGGGGAGTGATGGAGAATGTATGGGCATCTGGGAATGACAGATTTAAGGAACAGAAATGGTAAATCTGGCAATTGGTTGGATGTGGAAGTGAGGACAGAGATTAAACTTAAACCTGAGAACAAGTAGTGTGGTTCTCAAACCTCAGTCACTACTCTCGTCACCAAGAGCTTGATAAATATGCAGATTCCCACAACCCCAATCCCCCAAGTCAGGGCAGATCCAAGTGCTTGTTAATGGATCTGTGCTGACTCATAAACTCAGTTACTAACCTGCAATGAAGTACTAACAGAAATGGAGAGTGTCTACACAGTTTCATGGTAAGTTGATCAAGAACTTTACAGAATGGAATCTAATAATTAAAGGTTTACTTTTTCAGATATTGGGTTTTTTCCATGTCACTGTTCTAATAATTCATTTTTCATGAATTTTGCAAAAGTATGAATCCACAGAAATTAATTTTTTTTAAAACAAAATGGTTCTTGCACTAAGAGAAGCACTACACAGTCATGTAGACCTGTGCAGTGCAGGTCGTACTTGGGCCATATCTGGAAGAAATGGGTCAGTAAAAGGACAACAAGGCATGAGGAAGGGCTTGGGGCTAGGACCTCTCTGCATTGGCTTTCTGAACACATTGACTGCTGATTCCCCATCACTATGGCCCTCTCTCCTACTAAGCCACCAACCTCCATAGGGGATCATCTGAGAGTCTGATGCCTGCCCATCATCATACTGGGTGTGACCTCCCCCCACCCCCCACTCCCACCTACCGTGTCCTCTAGGCCCAGTGTGAAGGTCTTCTGCCACATACCAACCCTCTGAATCCCCTACTGTGTTTCAGAAAATGTCCCAAAACACAGCAATCTGAGCAGCAGAGGGAAAAAAGACTGGACATGACCACTGCTTGCAGAGAAGTGGATGAGGACTTGGGAAAATCATCAATTGCCTTCGATAGAGCAATTTCAGCAAAGTGATGGAGTCAGGCTGCAAGGGACAGCCTGAAAGAGCAGCCTTCCTGAATGGCAGGCAGCTGATCACATATTTTCAAAATATCACTGGGTGCTGTTTGGAACATTCAGTTAGCACTACCTTAAATATTCATTTTCTTCCCTCTTATCTTTGTACTAGTACTTACTGTCTATTTGCAGCTATAAATGTCATGTTTCTGCCTTGCTGAGATAATAGGCTAGTAAGTGACATCAGCCATTCTTTAAGGCAAAAGGTCATAAAGAAATCCAATACTTATGTAGTCTGGGGCAAGGGAAGAGGGAGAAGTGATCTCTATAATCTCACAGAACACTTGGAGAACAGCGAGCAGAGGGGGAATGTTGGGGGTAGGTTGGAGTCTACTTTCTAAGAGTTCTTGGACTTGTGCCCTACCTAAATTGACTGAATTTAAAACAGAAACTGGCGGAAGCATCTTGTGCTGTTTTCCAGCAGGATCCAATCTTTTAAACTTGAGACTTCAGAAACAAGATGCTGACAAGGTCACTAACAACCCAAAAGTACCCCGGATGTTTGATCTCAGTGTTTAAAAAGAACACTGCCTATTTTTCATTTGATTATTTCCAAGAGTAAATATGGAAAGTGAGATAAAGGGTTAAGGTCAAATAGTTGCTAAGAGCAAGCTTGACCCCATGAAGACTTGACCTCACAGTTCTCTGATCCAAGACAACCATCCACAAATATCTTCAGCACATTCCATCTATAAGGACAGTCAAAACCCTTTTAAGATAAAAGGGAGAGCAATGGCATTGGTGAAAGATGGAACTTGGGGTGGCACTTCCTGTGTGTTTGGATTGATCATTTCAGGCCCTAGGGTAGATAATTATTTAGGATAGCTCAGGAAATGTTCTCAGTCCTGATTGTTGTTAAAGTTTATAGAACTGCATGCTTTTAATTGTACGTTGATTATTCCTCAATAAAGCTGTTTTAGAAAGAAATCATTCGCCAGAAACACAGAAGGGAACACAGAAGGGATGAATCTGTTGATGGGCTTGTACTGGGAGGTAGTATAAACTGTAGAGGTGAGGCCTAGTTGGAGGAAGTAAGTCACTGAGGGTGTGCCTTTGAAGGGTATTTTTGTCATCATGAGATGAACAGCTTTGCTCCACCATACCATCTCCACCATGATGCTCTGCCTCACCACAGGCCCAAAGACAACAGTCAAATGACCATGGACTGACACCTCTGAAACTGTGAACTGTGAAAATGAGTCTTTTCTCCTTTTTAAGTTGTCTATCTCAAGTATTTTGTCACAGCAACAGAAAGCTGAATAACACAGAGCCCAACCAGGGAAAGAGAAACCCTGCAAGTGTTTCCAACAGAGGGGATTTAACACAGGGAATTGATGACACAGGGAACTGGTGATGTGGCAGTGGGAGAACTCAGCAGCCAAGCAGATCCTGGAGCAGGAACCCATGGATTAACAACAGCAGGAAGCCACCTCACTCCTCAGGAAGGAGGGAAGACAATCCAGGGGTCACCAGTGCAAGGTGGAACAAGGCAGACCACTCAGAACTGGAGGAACAGCAGGGCAGTGGCAGCTGGAAAGGCAGCCTCTAGGGTCTCCAGCCCTAGTTATGAGAGTAACTAGGGAAGGGTAAGGAATGGGCACAAGAACAGAGAGGCCTGGGTGTGACACAGGGCTTTCAGCAAAAAGGGGTTATAGAGTGAAAGTAAATTCTAAGAAAACTATTACAAAAATTTAGCAGGCTTCTTTGCTGATAGCCTTGTCAGGGCTTTGACACGCTGGAAGACACATACATCTCAAGGAGAGGAATAAACATTAAGTGCTTCGTGATTTTTTTTTTCTTTTGTGGTTCTGGGGGTTGACCTCAGCTTACACCTTCAGCCACTCCATCAGCCCTTTTTTGTGATGGGTTTTTCTGGGATAGGGTCTTGAGAACTATTTATCCAGTCTGGTTTTGAACCTCAATCCTCCTGATCTCTGCCTCCTGAGTAGCTAGCATTACAGGCGTAAGCCGCACCTGCCCATGATCTTTTTTTGCAGAACATTTCAAAAAAGTCATGTTCCATGAAATATTTTATAGAAAAATGCAGATCTATCCCAATATTCACATTTTAAAGCTAAGGAAAGAAATAAAATTAAGAGACCTAGAAACTTGGGAAATTGGTTTGAACAACATATTATTTAAAAAGGATATTACTAGCTGGGGGCTAGTGCTCAAGCCTGTAATCCTAACTACCTGGAAGGCTGAGATCAAGAGGATGGAGGTTGGAGGCCAGAGTGGATGAATAGTTTGTGAGATCCCACCTCCAAAATAACCACAGTAAAATGGATTGGAAGTGTGGCTCAAGTGATAGAATGCCTGTTTTGCAGGTGTGAAGCTCTGAATTCTAATCTCAGTCCCACCAATTAAAAAAAGGAGTCAGATTACTATGACCAAGGACTAAATTTAATCAAGTGCTCTTTCTTCTATGCTAAAAAGGCCATAAACACTTTCTAGCACCATCAAGAGACCAACTGCAACCATAATAGCGAGCAATGACTCATTACTGTGATATAAAACTCCATGGAAATGTGTGTAATATGCCCTGCTGGGTCAATGAGAAAGGCACCAAAACCGCAGGAAATGAACATGTACAAAAGAAGAAATAAATGTAATGAAGTTGCCAAACTTATTAATGGAAGGAAAAGAAAGTACCAGAAAGAAAGAGGGAGGTGGGTAGACTAGCATCTACTGGGTACCACCTACATCCCTGCCACCATGTTGGATTCCACATCTTATAACAATGACAAATTTGTGCCTATAATAACTTCAATTAAACAGATGAAGTAACCAGATTTGGGAGAGGAGTACCCAAGACTGACATGAGAGGTTTCTGCTCTAACCAGACCCCAAAAACTGCAAAGTCTCTCTGGGGAAACATAGCTCTCCAATTTTCTTCAACTAAAGACCCCTATGACCTTCTCACTATTTTCTCCACAAGCCTTTGCCCTGTCCTTTGGGATCACTTCTCTTTGTGCTCAGTTGAAATGTCTATCTATTAAACCACAGCACTTCCTAAGTCAGATGTATGGAACAAAGTTGAGTGTCTCAAACCCAACGATGCTGCCATGGCCCTAAACTCTCCCTTATTTTTTAGAGGTTTCATCTGTGCAGGTGAGGAGGGAAGATAAGGAGTGGGCAATGTGTTCACCTGTACAACAATATGTGAAGGAATGCCCACTAACTCCCAACATAACTAAGGTGAATTGCTAGCTATGTGTTCAATAGCACTTTTTAGAGTTACCAAGTTTCTTACTAATATTGTTGCATTTTCGTATTTATTTATCAGTAATCTGTGTAACCCCTTTTTACAGAGAACAGTTCAAAGGCAAATAGGCCTATTCTATAGACTACTTACAAAGACCTCTGGATTTATGGGGTCTTAATTAATTTAGCTTTATTCCAATCTAAATAGTCTTCCCTGGGGAAGTCTGAAAGCTCCCTGGTCCCACCTCCAGGGCCAGTAAGTTTTTTTTGTTTCTTTTTTTTTTTTGGTCAGTTTCAATCCTGAAGTCACATTAAGTTTTAATTTAAGTTTTTAGGAACGAAGGGAAAATATTGAACTCCTCCCGTAAGACCCCTCCACCATCAAATTTCAATAATTTACAGGCACAGAATTCCAGTAATTCTTACTTGTTCTTCAGACTTCTTTATTTTACTCCTGCAAATCCTGCCGAGCATGGATCAAACAGGGCTCAAGCCAGGGAGAAATTTAATCACTTGTGTCTCTGCCTGAGGGATTGTCTAGGTACTATGGTGACAGACACCTCAGAGAAAGTATGTGGAGGAAAAAAGATTTTTAACTCCTAGACTTAAAAAAAGAAAGAAAGATTTCTGATGGATTTGTTGTCAACACGTGGAAGCACTACAAAATAAAGCCCCACGTTGTGATAGGTGATCAAAATTTACTTCTTCATACACCACCAGGGTACAGCCACTAGGGTAAAACCCAGAAACAAAGTATTTCTCATCAAAGGTATTTTATAACTCTTTCCTCAAACTGCATATTTTGAATTTTTTTATGTTCATGGATTTGAATTTTCCCATTAAATGGACAGCTTTTCCAAAGAGGATTTTCAGGGCAGTGAAAGTGCAACTAAGATGGTAGATACATGTCCTGATGTATTTGTGCAAACCAATCCCACGGAATAAGCCACACCAAGAGCAAACCATAATGCAAAATGTGGACTCTGTGCAAATGATGCATCACGAAGGTTCATCAACTGTGACAAATGGACCTCTCTGGTGGGGGATGGTCACAAAGGGGGGTGGCTGTGCCTGTGTGGGGGAAGGGTGTAGGGGAAATCTCTGCAATCTGCTTAATTTTGCTGTGAACCTTAAACTGCTCAAAAAAAAAAAAAATCAGCTTCTCTGTCATTAACTTATCATGAGAGTATGCAAATAAAATCTGGAAAAAATAAAAGCCAAGTAAAAACTTTCCGTCTTTCATTTTGTAGTTTACAAAACTCACCCCTTTGGATTCTTTAAAAGAAGGGAGGGAAAATAACTGGTCTCAAAAAATAAGCAAAGCCAATCTTAAAATAAATAAATAAATAAATAAACCTCCTGACCTCATCAGCACACAAGGCAGCTTGCACCAGTGATACAGCTAACCTCCCCCTCCGCTGAGACACAAATGGGAATGTTTTCCCAGCCCATGTTCATGTACAGGAAACCAACAAGGCTGTAAACACAGGAACAACAATCAACAAGCCCAGATGTTTCAGGCTGGAAGTCACATTCTGGACAAGGCGAAAGGGTAAGTGGCTA